CCTCCTCTTTCTCTCCTTCTCTCCCCCTTCTCTCTTTCTTCTCCTCTCTTTTTCCCTTTCTCTCTCCTTTCTCCCTCCTCTCTCCTTCTCTCCCTCCTTCTCTTTCTCCCACTTTCTCTCTCTTTTTCTCTTTCTCCCTTTCTCCCTCCTTTCTCCCTCCTTCTTCCCCTCTTTCCCTTCTCTTTCTCCCTCCTCCTCTCCCTTTCTCTTTCTCCCTCCTCTTTCTCTCCTTCTCTCTCCCTCCCTCCTCCTTCTCCCTCCTTCTTTCCCTCTGCCCCTCCTTCTTCCTTTCTCCCTCCTGCTCTTTCTTCCTCCTTCTCTCTCTCTCTCTCTCTCTTCTTTTCCACTGCTGTTCTCCTTCTCTTGCCTTTGTTTTCATCTCCAGCAAAACAGCCTTACCAGAAACTGGGCTTCCCCACCTCTCAAAAAAGTTTTTGCTGAACAATTTCGTATATTTGGGGGCGGATTAATCCAAATATCGCTTGGCCTGTTGCTTTGGGGGTTTTTAAAAATTTTTTGCAATGGTTCTATGGTTGCCATGTTTTGTCAGGGCTGGCTAAAAATTTGGGGCCTCTCAGGGGTGAGGAGCAGTTCCTTCTTTCCCACACCAACTCTCCAAATTTGTCTGAGATGGTATGAGCACTCCTGGGGTTGATCGTCTCCAAGTTCCTTTCCAACTCTATGTGAAGTCAAAATGAAAGTCTTCCCATGAGTCCCGATATTTTTGGCCCTTGCAAAATTGGCGTCTTTGTCTCGATTCACCAACAATGGGTGGATTCTTCGTCTCTTGGCTCGGCTCCTGTACAGCCAGCTCAGATTCTGATAATCCAGGGCATCCTTTACAGAATGAACAGAATTGGAAGGGACCGTGAAGGTCTTCTAGTCCAACCCCCTGCCTAGGCAGGAAACCCTACACCACTTCAGACAAATGGTTATCCAATCTCTTCTTAAAAACCTCCAGGGTTGGAAAATTCACAATTTCTGGAGGCAAGTGGTTCCACTGATTAATTGTTCTCACTGTAGGAAATTTCTCCTTAGTTCCAGGTTGCTTCATTCCTCGATTAGTTTCCATCCATTGTTTCTCCTCCTGCCTTCTGGTGCTTTGAAGAATAGGTTGACCCCCCCTGACAAAATTGGGCTGTTCAAAGAAATGAGTGGTATAATGAAATTTGGAGTATGGCAACAAATGATAAATTAACAATCGTTTGCCCCTATGTTGTTGTGGTTGAAGCCGACAGGTAGGGCATTGCAAGCAGACAATTTTGTGTGCTAAGCTTAAGTCGGATCGTAGGCGGCGTAGTTCTGGGTTGCCCAAGCCCAAAATCTCACGCCTGGGAGTGTGAGCAGAGGAGTGTAGTACTCTTCTCGTGAAATACTTCTGGATTCGTTCAATTGTATTAATGTCTTGTTATACAGTGTGGATTCCAGGCAGATGAGCTGTATTCAAGTATTGGTCCGGCAAAGGTTTTGTCTGTTTCAGACTTTCTGGGCCCTCGGATTTCTTTTAGTAGCCTCCTCCAGCCTTCCTTTCTGGACTTCTCTTTTCTCTCCTCCTCCTCCCTCTTCTCACTGCTATTCAGCTCCCGGCACCCATGCCTGCCAGCGGTCCCTCCTTCTCCCATCATGCCTCAAAGCCTCTCTCTATATAGGGGGGTAAAAATAACCATGCCGGGTGGCCAGCGGTGGAGAAGCACAGCCGCCTCTCTCTCTCTCTCTCTGTGGCCGCCTTTGTCTGCTCCTCTTCCAGCGCCGAGAGGTAAGGCTGAGCCGTTTTTTCCCCAGGATGTTTTAAAATTAATTTTTGCTAAAAGGCAGGGCAATCCTTCGGGGAAGGAAAAAAAAAACAGAGAGAACAGTGGGTACCTTGGTTTTTGTTTTCTTCTCCTTCATCTCATTCAGCGCAGGACATTGGGGAAGATTTGTCTGACGGTTCGAGAAGCAGGAAACAGCTCTGGGTAGAGATTTGCAACAGGGCTTTTAATTTTATTTTATTTTTTCCTTGAGGGATCTGCAGCCAAATGGACCCAGGGCCAAAGGCTGTGGATAGTTGCAGCAAAATCAGACATGCTTCGATCCATATATGATTGTGTGTATGTGTGTCTCTGGGTGATCTTGCATCAACTTTGGGGAGGCGTCTGGTTGCAATAACCTTCACTGACCTCTTAGGTTTTTTTTCTCTGTTGCTTCAAAGCCGCTGGAGAGGGGCTTTAAAATCATTTTTTTTTTAAAGGAGCGGGGGGGGGGTCTCGGTCTCCCTCTTGCCCCCACCCCATCCTGCAACGTTGCCCTGATTAAACAGCTGGGATTTTTTTTGCAGGAGTTTACTCTTTGTTAAATTGGAAAAATAATAATAATAATAATCCCCCCCCCCCCCAGCCAGATTTGGAGGTCGTAAAGACATCGCTGGGGTGCCAAGTGTGGAGAACTATAGGATCTGGAGGAAATCCAGATGCTGGTTTAAAGCAAGATGGAGAAGAAGAAGTTCCTGTTCTGTTCTTCTTCGCCTTCTTTCGTTCTCTCTTGCGAGTATATTCTCTTTTTTTTCCAGGATCCAAAGACCTTTGAACCACCCATTTTAAAAGGCCAAGGAAGGGGAAAAGAACATTGGATTAATTGCTTCCTTGTCTAGCCAGTTCTTTGCCTGCAGAAAGCTAGCATCTCAGGGAGAGTGTCCCTGTACGCTGATTTAACCCAGCCTTCCCCCAAACAGCAGATCTAAACAGCAATTTTAGCATGTGCATAGCAGTCTCTCCTCCGCTTCCCTCCCCCACGCTCCACAACTCCCCTGTAAGGTAGGCTGGGATGACAGAGAATAAATAGCTTATCTAGGAAGCATTTGTGGCTAAATTTGAACCTGGGATGCATCCGACAATGTAAGGATGCTAAAATTCAGAATATCTACATTGATTATCCTGGGGGTTTTAATTGCACCACTTGGAGAGACAACACAACACACACACGCACACACACACATAAATCCCTTGTTCTTTGTAGTTAGAAATCCAACAGAGAGATCCTGGATTTGTCCAAGGGAGGAAGTTCTGGGATTTTTGTGTTGTTTTTAAACAGCCCACACACCTGTCATTAAACACTGAATCACCTCATTGTGATGATGAGGTAGATCATAATGACCACGTCGATTGGATGTCAAGGGAGGAAACTGTCATTCCAGAACCAGATTCATCATTAACCATCATCCTCCACTCGTGTTTCCTGACATCTGCTGGAGGATGTCTAATGTAGTTTTCCTAACATACTGGGAGGTAACCTGGTTGTTGTTTTTTCTGTGCCTAGTTTGTAACCTTCTGGGGGGGCAGGGAGGCCATCCTTGGGGCAGGAATGGCTCATTGGAAAGGCAGGGGAAGAAGGAAGAAGGAATTGAGCTGGCTGCTTCCTTACCCTGCCAATTCCTTGCTTGCAGAAAAGCTGCCAGGCTGATTTAAACCTGGGAGGAGACAGCAATTTTAGGCAGGTTTTCTCCTGATGTTTTCAAGGGATGTGTAGGTGTGTGTGTGTGTGTTTGGTGAACGTGCCTGCCTTTGGATGCAATAGTTTTGCAGAAACGGAAGAATTCAAACTCCTGACATGCTTCAAAATCCACTTTAAACTTCAGGAAGAAATTTAAAACTTTGCTCTAGCACCCAACTCACCTGCAAAGGTTGAGCAAGGGGACTGGACTAGAAGACCTCCCAGGTCCCTTTCAGCACTGTTATACTATATTCTGCTCCGTCCCCAGCCAGATTTACAGTTGCTGAGTTGCACTTCGCAAAACCTCAAAGGAGTTAACCTTATTAGGTGTTAAAAAAAAAGAGAGAGAGAGAGATGTGTGTAACCAGACCTGGTTATTTCTCCCCTCAAACTATGCCAGCATCTATTCTAGGAGTCGCTTCTCTTTCGGCGTCATTAGTAGATTTTTTTTTTAAGGGAGGGTTGGTTTTTTTTGGGTGGGGTGGAATAACCCAATGTAAAGATGAGCTGCTCTTCAGCCATGAAACTCAACGCCACCCAAAGAGGCTTCCGAAATCTAACCGCGATTCGATCCACGCCTCGGAGAAGCCCATGAGGTGGGTTTCAGCTGCTGACCTTTTGCAGCGGGGAAACTGAGGACTGAAGGATCAAGTAGCAAGCCAGGATTGGAAGCCGCGATGCCAGGATTTAATGGAGGACTCAGACAGGGAACAACGATTGGGTTTGATTCATCTCTTTGGGTCAGCAATGCAACAAATGCTTCGTTTGTAAGAACAAAACAGAATAACAAGAGTTGGAAGGAACTTTAGAGATCTTCTAGTCCAACTCCCTGCTTGGGCAGGAAACCCTACACCATTTCAGACCAATGGTTGTCCAATCTCTTCTTAAAAACTTCCAGTGTTGGAGCATTTACAGGCAAGCTGTTTCCCTGGTTAATTGTTCTAACTATCAGGAAATTTCTCCTTAGTTCTAAGTTGCTTCTCTCCTTGAGTAGTTTCCACCCTTTGCTTCTTGTCCTGCCTTTGGTGCTTTGGAGAATAGCGTGACTCCCTCTTCTTTATGGCAGTCCCTGAGATATTGGAAGACTGCTATCATGTTACCTCTAGCCCTTCTCTTCATTAAACTAGACATACCCAATTCCAGCAACAGTTCTTTGTGTGTTTCAGCCTCCAGTCCCCTAATCATCCTGGTTGCTCTTCTCTGCACTCTTTCTAGAGTCTCAACCTCTTTTTTTACATTGTGGTGACCAAAACTGAAAGAGTTGGGAGAACAAATAGAATAAGATATCCATTTGTTGGTGACGTTTCCCCCCCACACACACACACACAAAAGTCAGGCTGCTTTTTCACAGAATGGAAATAAAATCACCTGAATGGTTGTAAAACTCACGGCGTTGGGAAAGCTTAACCAGCCTTTGGTCTTGAAATGAGCTTTCAATCTGAACTGATACGCTAGGGAGTCCGTGTTGATTCTTAAAACGGTTCTTCCAAGCTTGGTCCTTCAACAGTTCCAGGGGTCTGTCTGTCCATTTTGCCGTGGTCTCCTGCATAACCTCCCAAAAGCAGAAAAATAAAATAAGTAACATTCCCCCTAGCTAAATAGTACAGAAGAAGGCATAGGTTATGCTTTTCCTTTTGAGTCATTTTTCAAGAGAGAAGAGGGGGGTGGGATGCAAAGAATAGTCCAAACTTCCTTAGATACTTACCAGCTGGGTCCACTGCCTGGGGATGATGGGTGTTTTAGTCCACCCTCTTCACCCAAGGCTGACCTAAACTCCAAACCGAAGTAGCAGCCGACGGCTTGAGCCTAGAAAGCAAATCCAACGATATTTTTTTTTATGGAGAGCAGGGATCTGGAGAGATCTGGAGAACTGAAGAATATAGTATTAACAGAGCTAGAAGGGACCATGGAGGTCTTCTAGTCCAGCCCCCTCTGCTGAAGCAGGAGATTCCTATACCATTTGTTCGATCTTTTCTTAAAAACCTCCAGTGATGAAGCACCCACGATGTCTGAAGGCACTTGAGCTTCGCCTCTTGATGAAAAAATTCTGGAGATCTTTTTTTCTGGGCCAATAATAGATTCCACAGCCTGAAAAATAATTTTTCTAGATCCCAGGCCCCTTGCTCAGCATAAGAGTTGCAGAGATACGGAGCTCCATTTGTGCTGACTTGAGGCCCCCTGGAAAAGAAACAAGCCATGAATAGTCCATCTAAAAGACCTGGAGAACTTGAAGTATTCCTGTAGTCTTCTCGTCTCCTCCTTTACCACTCAAAACCACCCCTGTCTTGAGACCCAGCGTTCCAAGCCAAATCCTCTTCCGTTGTCCGTGCGTGCTTTCCCTAACCATGGCTCCGTGCTCAGAGGTGCCACCAGCCCAAGGTCATGGTGCAAACCTTCCGGCTGGAAGGCAAGATGGAAGTGCAGGCATCACAAGTGGTCGCCATCACGAAGTGAAGTATTGAGCCAGGCGAAGGAGAAAGATGGAGTAGATTTACCACTTGGAGTGGGAGTTTCAAAAATGGGACCCCATAATGCAAATTCTGTTTAAAGAAGGATAATATGATAGCAGTATTCCAGTGTTTGAGGGGCTGCCCCCCAAAAAAAGGTGTGTGTGTGGGGGGTCAATTTATTTTCCAAAACACCAGAAGGCAAGACAAGAATCAATGGATGGAAAAAAACAACCTCGAACTAAGTAGAAATTTCCTGAATATGAGAACAATCAACCAGTGGAACAACTTGCCTCCGGAAGTTGTGGTTGCTCCATCACTGGAGGCTTTTAAGAAGAGACTGGACAGCCGTTTGTCTGAAACGGCGTAGTCTCCTGCTTGAGCTGGGGGCTGGACTAGAAGACCTCTAAGGTCCCTTCCAACTCTGTTATTCTTTTTTTTTTTTACTTTTTTTTTTATTAAACACCAACTCTGTTAATTCTGTTACACCTAAGTCTCATGGGGAATTTCATTGCTTCAGTTTTTCCCCCCATGGTGGTCCTTCTTGCCTCTCCCGTACGGCGTTGAAGTTCTCTTCCCAAGAGCTGCCGGTACATCCGAGGCAGGAAGCAGTTGCCATGGGAACCTCTTCCCAGGTGATGCCTCCGAAGGTGTGTTTTTTCCCTCCCTCCATTCACGTAGCTGTGAGTCAGAGGCTGCCTACCAAGTTACACATCAACTGCGATCCTTGGACTCTTGTTTCCTCCGTTGGGCAGTTGCCTGGGTGACTTTACAGGGAGGGTTGGAGAAAAAACTCAGTAAGATCTTGTCTCTCTTCACCGTTGAACCTTCTCGGGGGTCTGCCAGCTGAAAAGAAAAAGGAAGAAAAAAAAATTAGTTGCCGTGTCTAACCCAAGATTGATTTTGGTGTTCCGGGATAGATTGAGGTAAAGCCTTTTTGTGTCGTTTTTTATTGCTTTGCTTTTTATCCCCAACATCTGTAGGGATGATGGAAGGTTTTAATTGAGGTGGCAGTTAGGGACATTATTATTTTTTTTAAAAAAGGGTTGGGGGGGGGGAGATGGGAAGGATTTAAAGACACGGCAACATCAGGAAGAAGTCATAATTATTTTATGTCTTAGTTATTTTTGCCAGCGGGCCTGAGTTCTTCTCCTGTCTAGTTTTGGAAGAGGAGATTGGAGCAATCGAGGGATTTCCTGAGCTGCTGGGTTGATGCCCTCCAAGAGTTGGGATCTTCGGTCTAATCGAATCTTCTGTTTTCTTTCAGACAGAGGAGATTGACACCTCAGAATCCGTGGGAATGGCGGCAGGTCAGTGAATTTTCTCCCTTTCTCCATTTTGGTGGATCTGGATTGATCTTCCTGGTCAATCAAGCCAACGCTCGTAGTTATTCTCTTTTTGATCTTCACCTACCAGCACCTCTTTGGGATGTTCCAACTTCTGGGCCTCCCAAGATGCTCCATTCTGCCCCCACCCTCAATCTTTTTTTCCAAATCCCCCCACCCAAGGAGTGAAAATTTGTCCAGTTTATCATCTGATCTATTCTTCCAAAAAATAGCAAAACCCTCTAGGGCAGGGGTAGGGAAATTTGGCTCTTTTATCACTTATGGACTTCAACTCCCAGAATTCTTGAGTGAACCATAAAAGGTTCCTCATCCCTGGCCTACTGGTTTTTCAGTTGTGTGGGAAATCAATTTTTGACTTGAATGGGACTGTTTAATTATACAAATGTAGGACATATATAATAATGACATATATAATAATACACATTTGTATATTAAACAGTCCCATTCAAGGAACAGGATAACAGATAATCAGAGTTGGAAGGGACCTTGTAGGTCATCTAGTCCAACCCCCCACCCAAGCAGGAGACCCTACACCATTTCTGACCAATGGCAGTCCAATCTCTTCTTGAAGGTCTCAAGTGATGGCGCTCCCACAACTTCCGAGGGCAACTTCTGTTCCACAGGTTGATTGTTCTCCCTGTCAGAAAGTTTCTCCTTATTTCCAGATTAAATCTCTCCTTGTCCAGTTTCCATCGATGATTCCTTGTCTTGATTTCCTTGATTTCCCTCACAACTGAAAAACCAGTAGGCCAGGGATGGGGAACCTTTTATGGCTCACTCAGGAATTCTGGGAGTTGAAGTCCATAAGTGATCAAAGAGCCAAGACAATAGATAGATAGATAGATAGATAGATAGATAGATAGATAGATAGATAGATAGACAGACAGACAGACAGACAGACAGACAGATAGATAGATAGATACCCCTGCTCTAGGGCATTGGTTGGACAGTTTCTAAGTTAAGGCCTTATATTGGGGTCCTTCTCTGGTCTGAAATTTGCAAGTTGATCCAACATTACAAGTATGTCCCCAAGGTGCTTTTTTCAAAAGGCCATTATGGGGCTTCTCACCCAAGAAGCTTCTTCAGCTCTCCAGAAGGCAACTGGTCTTTGTTTTTTCTTGAAGAGGTTTCGCTTCTCACCCAAGAAGCTTCTTCAGTTCCTCAGAAGGCAACCGGACTTTTCTTGAAGAGGTTTCACTTCTTACCCAAGAAGCTTCCTCAGTTCTAACCTGAACTGTTCAGATGCAGTCACTCAGAACTGAAAAAGCTTCTTGGATGGGAAGTGAAATGTCTTCAAGGAAAAATAAAGCCCAGGGGCCTCTTGAA